GTAACAACTTACATGTAGCTTCTACAGACACACACACTCACACACACACACACACACAGACTTCTGAACAACAGTTCCAGTATACCAGCACAAGTAAGTACATTTTGTACAACTCAACATCTACATGCACACATAGACACAGACATACACAAACACACACAGACAGACAAACACACACATGACACAGTCTTTTACTGTACTCTTTTACTTACGTTAATTGCACTATGCAATAATAAAATGCTCAAAAGCCAAAAAACAATAAGTCCAAGTGACTAGCTTGAATTGACCTTCATCTTTCCCCCAGGCTACACCAGAAGAAGTAGAAGATCACAACAGCAGTGCAGCCAACTCTGTGTTTGACGGGTAAGTCCCTATTACTGATGCAGGGCTCCAAATACTTTTTTAGGACTTTGAAACATTGAACATTACCTGCACCTGGCATATGAATTAGGAAATATGGATCATTCTAAAAACTGTTCAGAAACCATTGTTATTTAATTGAATAATAGTAACATTGTGGTACTGTTGACTATAATCAGAAAATGCTGTATTTTGATGTAAATATACAGTGTTTGATATGCCGTTTGTCTTTTATTTTCAGGCCTGCCTCCCTTGAACATTCTAATGACATAGATGCCATTCATGTGAGTACAACAGGGGTTATGTAATACTAGTAGATTTTGTATAGTATTGACTTTGCTACATATAGCAGATCTTTATTCTGAAAGCTATTGAAAAATTGAAACATCTTTTCTCTTGGTAGCAATTTTTTTACTTTCTGCTTTAGTTAAAGGCATCCAAATTGATGCAGTTTCAGGTCGACAAAACTGGATTTCAAATTTAATTTTCTGGTCATTCTTTTATTACATTGTATACTAGTAAGTTGAATAAATTCTACCTCATAGCATAATACTGATACCTGTAATGTCATTGACAGCAAATGGTTGAATGTTTTGTTTGTATCGTAAGCTGGTTCTAGCTATTTATGGGTGGTACCCAAAAATAAAGAGACTCCTCATGTACCTTGTTTTGGGGCTATTTCATATGAAATCTTTAGTTAAGTTGTAGAAGACCATACAAAAGTCTCTGTACTTTTTTTGTTGTGTCAATAAAGAATATCATATGAAAGATGACAAAAATGTGCTAAGAAATGTCAATATCAGACAGATTTCTTCATTCCAATTATTTTTTTTTTGTTTTGCCACCATAAGGCCACACCAATTTAATTTGTTGGTTCTCGGATTCGCCTCTTTGTTTTTTTCTGATTTGCAAAAAAAAAAA